GAACACACGCGTAACGTATGTGCCAAAGAAACGCTCAGCAGTAGAACCCCTTCGGTGCCTGACTACCGTGTCACTCGAAAGAAGCACGAGGGCTGGGGTACTGCTAGGTTGCTAGAGGAAGGAAGTCGATACGCAGAGATCAGATTGGAACCACGGACCTTCCGGTCAGTGAATTCACGCTGTAACCACTGAGCTATCTTACATCAATTCAGCACGAGGGCTGGGGTACTGCTAGGTTGCTACACAGAGGAAGTCGATACGCAGAGATCAGATTGGAACCACGGACCTTCCGGTCAGTGAATTCACGCTGTAACCACTGAGCTATCTTGTTAACATCAATTCATATCATCATACTTTGGTTGCGGCAATTCGAGACATCCGAAAACAGCGAACAACTGTATGGAGTGAGTTTAGCTAGTACCTCGTATTACAAAATTACAGGAAAACTCGCTCTGAGGTGTATCACTCCAGCACCACCAATAAGCAAAGTTATATTGAAGTGAGCTCAGACTCCAAAGGAAGGGAGTTTCTAACGACAGCGGCATTTTTATGGTGATTATTGATTAATGGTATTGTCCTCTATGACCCACATATGTTAGCTACGAAACCATCGGTTGAAAATTGTTAATTAAGCGGGCAGAACAAAACGCAAGTCAGAGAGTGAAAAGCGATCGATAGACATGAACGTAAGTTGTTCTGTTATGTTTTTGCACAGTTATGTTCAAGGGTCCACGAATTGTCACTGTGTTTATCTACCGTCGTTGAGCATGCACTGACGAGCAATTCATGTGAATATGCTGAAGTAGACGAAGAGAAACCAACAGGGCGTGGCGGTTTTCAATGAAAGGAGATACTGCGCCCTGACTGATCAGTCGATTTGATTCCAAGGTGAAAACTAGTAAGTAACTGAGATGTGTACACTGCAGCTACTCAAATTCGACCGACACGTTCTCCTCGCTTCGAAACTTTTAACGAATGCGCCGTGTATTTTTAGCAGGCACAGAATTAATGAGCAGCGTGGTGCACGTAAGCTTCGAACTTGAAATATGCAATCGATAGGCCGAACGTCAGGAAATTCGGGCAAATCATCACCACCAACAACACACCAGCAGTGCCTAGCTCCAATACAACCATCAGGAAATAATGCACTGGTAGATGACTGACTTCCTACACTTTCACGTTTTCCATCTTCCACCCTACCCCGCCCAAATTTGAACACTTTCTCCGCTCTAGGACTGCCCGTTGTGCTCGCCCTGCATCACACTCAGCTATAGCTTCTGTACGTCCGAGTTCAGTGACAACTCTGAACACTTCGAAGTCTTTTCCAAACCCCGAAATCCTGTCCACTTAGCCGCCTTTAATGTTCGCGCACTAAAACAAGCAGTTTAACAGACGAATCTTGATTGTATACTAAATTCCCTTTGCATTGATTTATGTTGTCTGTCACAAACAAGGATGCAGGAGGCAAGTACTGTGATCAAACTGACTGCCTCATCGCTCTCCTCCAGGTTCTGGCTGCGCACCTCTCGAGATGCGGAGGTCACTGCAGCGGGATATGTCGAGGTGGGCATGGTATTGAGCGACCGAACGGAAGCGTCTCTACTTGACTGGATACCCGTTGGTAGTTGCCTCTGTGAGGTTTGTTTAGCAACATTTGTGAGAGAACCTACAGGAAGTGAGGACCATCGCACCTTGTCTTTGCTGGATACTCGGGGACATATTCCCGCTGGCCGGAACCACAACTCCACCCGACATATCGCCCGACACCAGGTGAAACTGAGTGTCCGTGCAGACTGAGAAGCCTGGTGGACCCGAAAGGAAGAAGTCGAAGGTGCAAAGAATGCTGGAATAGTCCGCAAGCTGTTACACTTGATTCGTTCGACTGGTCCTCGGAAACCTCACGTCAGCGAAGTAACTGAGGGCCAAAATAGCTTCCTGATACGCAGAAAAGCAGAACGTTTTGACCGCCGGGCAGAGTACTTCGAACAGCAATTCAGCTGGTCACCTGCTACTTCCAATCCAGAATCCTGGCCTTCAACAGAAAAGTGGACCGTAAATATGGAACCGCCCTCAGTTTCAGAAGTGTCCGAGTATATATCTCTACCCAAGCGTCATCATGCTGCTGACGACCTTCCACCCGCTGTTTTCAAGGCTGAATGTGGATTTCTCAGCCAGTACCTACCTAGCCTCTTTGGGTCTACCTGGGAGAAATAAACCACCTTAGACAACTGGGGTGGGTCGATAGTAGTGCCCATTTTCAAAAAACGTACTCGCAGTGAATCTAGCAACCACAGAGGTGTCAGTTTGAATCCCGTTTTAACAAGGCTTCTGGCGTCACTGATTCTTCGTCGTTTTACGGTGGCACGCGGAACCTTGACTCGTGAGAATCAAGCGGGATTTCGACCGGTTAGAGGCTGCGTTGACCACTTCTTCACACTCCGCCAGGTGTTAGAGAAACGCCACATGTACAGACAACCCACAAGCTTGATAGCCCTTGACCTTGACGGTGCGTTCGATTTTGTTGATTGGTCAGTGTTATTAACCAGACCCCCTCAACAGGGTACGTCCGGAAGTTTGAGAACATAATCTCATTCACATACTTCTGGGCGTGTAAGAATGTGGTGAGCTCTCCAAAAGCTTCCCTACAAAAAATGGTGTCCGACAAGGATGACTACTCTCTCCATTCTTGTTCAACTTCATCATTGATGAAATAATGAGGCGAACACTGGGATGCCTTCAAAGTACCGGTGTTCGAATTGTTGCTAGTGAGGATCGTGTTGATCTTGAGTACGCAGACGACATCGCCTTCATCTTTGAAGACCAAGCACAATCCCTGTTGAATAGACTGACAACCATCATACCATCTTTTGGCATGCGCCTTGCACCTTCAATGTGCAAAGTCCTGCTTCCGAACGCGCAGTACCTGAGCATATCCTTTACAATTAAAGGGGGAATCATTGGAGATAGCGGAAAATTTTACCTACCTCGGTGATTGTATTAGCTCTGAAGAAACGGTATCTGATGAAGTTAGTGCAAGAATCTCAAAGGCTCGAATCACGTTTACTAGTTTGCGTCACTGATTGAGCGCTTGGAGGTGTGGGTACCTCGGAAGGGTTGGTATAGACCAGTACTAGGACCCCCTCACCCACTCTTTATCTCTTCTTTTCACTCTAGGGCTTTAAATATAATTAGATAAACCTTATGGTTGTACTGCAGTCAAGCATCAGTGTTAACACTGATGTTGCCGTCTCTGATGATGATGATCTCAGCCCTCGTACTTCCGTCAGGTGGCATAGTGGCTGGGCACCGAAAGGGTGTTACGACTGAAAGGTTGTTATTTGTATTTTAGGTTGCTCATACGATGATGGCCTTGTATAAATGGCCCTTGAACTGAACTGAAGTTGGTGTCTTGACGCCATAAATAGCGTGATTCGGCTATTGCTGGCGCTTTGCTGACGCATGTACAGTACATTCACCGGGCATATAGATGCCAAACCGTCCAAAAACAATGAAAGTAATAGTGAACGACAACAAACAGTGGACTTACGGGATTAAAGTGTTCAATCCTAATCAAATCTTCTGGAGACGCATGGCGTAACACGCGAGCTAATAGATCGTAAGGTACGTGACCAACATGATCCACTCTGCTTAAGTTGTGCTCAAGAACGTCCAAACATAAATCGACGAGACTAGAGGGATCTGAAAAATGTTCACCAGGTGTGTCAGATAGCTGTCCAACAGAAGTATTCGAGTGCAGTGATGAGTTGGTAGTGCGTGAAGCTTTTGGGACCCAGAGAACCTTCTTCGACTTGAATTTCAAGTCACCGTCTTCAAATGCGGCATCTGTGTCTACATCTGAAGGTGAGGAGAGAAACACAAACCGGCTGGGTCACCAGTCACAAGTTTTTCAGCATCAGCTCCACTAATTGGAGGAGAAACTTTGACTAATCCGGGACAGTGCGACCGAAGAAAAACCTTTTGACTGAAGATAATGAGATACGGAGTGACACACAAAGAACGAGGGTTAATATTTCGTAAAGTATTCGTGTCCCCGATATCAGTTATCCCGGGAGAGAAAACTACTAAACGAATACCTACTCAGAAAAGGATACAGCAACGCTGTATGTTGTGTTTCATGCTATAGAGGGCTGAAGAATATTTACAGATATTAATTGCCACCTTGGTGGCCGGCAATACACAGCCCACTGCTCGTTTGCCGTGAATGGACCCTCTTTTGAGGAATATCAAACCGGCTTAATTTCATTGTTTGAAAGACTGATGGAAATACTCCTGAAAGGTGGGTCACCAGCAAATATCAGGATGGTCTTACACAGACCTTTAGGATGCTATCCAATGCGTTAAGTTAAAAAAAATGCTCCATCCTAATTCGACAAATACACCTGTTCGCATATCAATCTGGTTTCCACGGAAGACTCACCTGAAACTCTTGGACGAGTTTTCAGCAACCTCATGAGTAGTGCATTACGCCTATTCTATCGTGATGTCATTTTACTTTGAGGCGACTAGCTCCTTGATTAGGAAGAGTAGGCTTCGGGAATGTCTTACACAACAGCTGTCCAAGAGCGACGACCTACGCAGTAAGGGAATCTTGGCACGAGGACGTAAACTATAAGGAAACAGTGTAGCTGACTGTTCAGCCTGTAGATCGACGAGAAAATGTACCCATTGAAAGTTATATCAATGTACCAACTGAGATGAACAAGTGGCTTCAACATACGAAACCACCCCAACGACAAGCCATATATGAAAACCAAATCACAATACATTGACACAAGCAGTGACATGTCCGTGAAGGTCCACGAGCAGTTGACAGTTCGCGAGTGATGTAGTCCGTCACGAAGAGACTGGACCTTACCGTGGTGCGGCGGTTTGTGTACCTCGGAGACCCATTGAGCTATACTGGGGGGTGTCCGCGCAACACTCACAGAGTCTCTCATACCAGGTTGGTCAATGGTTAGAGGTCTGACGAACAGTCTCTTGGCCCTCCAGGTTGGGGGTTGGAACATGTATGGCGGCGTGTTCCGTAAAAATGGTAATGTACTTGCATTTCCAGCCGAACACCGCTGCCTTGCGGTTAGGCTTTTGAGCCAAAGGCTTTGGTTGAGGACCCTAATTGTCCTCCTGTCTAGGTGTGGGCGCCTTGGCAGTATCCCAGCCCTCATACAACCAGCACGGCAGTGAAGCATCAGGGCCAACACTGATGTTGCTGTCTTGGATGATGATGGTGATGTGGTCTTTCACATGCTTACACCACAGTATGACAGAATCGACAAAAGAAAGGGAGGCGCATCGACACTAAACCATCATTCGATTTGGACAGGAACCAAGACGCAGAATAAGCCTGGATCATTCCGGAACCATTCTACCCCACTATTACCGTGTCGTCAAATTCGGTCACTTGCCTAGGCCTATTGGGTATCGCATGCATTCGAATCCGAAAATTCGGCCTCATTACAACAACACGAGTGAAGCTGGGTTATACTGATTTAATTTAGTAAGGCTGTAAACCAGGTTGAATGAATGGTTCTTCTAATTCTTGCACAAATTGGATCTAATTTTCAAATAAAATATTGTTTTCGAGAAATACACTCATCTGCAAATCAATTTGGTTTTCACGGAAGACTCAATTGAATCCTCGTTTATGATGTTCTCCAGCTGAATGTGCTGCACACAGGCCGCCTCGAAAACAGTGCAATTTGGGTTCAAGTAGATCATAAGGTTGACGGAAACTCGGCGACTGCGCCTATCTGATGAGCCCCAAGAAGGGCGAAACCGGTCGTGGGCTGTCGAAGAGTTTTCAGCAACCTTGTGAGTAGTCTCCTTTATGAAAATATTGTTTTCATTAGGCCGTAACAGGGCGCCGTTGAATGGACTCAATGCATCGTAATGATCTCAACCGAATAAGATGGACATCTGATATTGTGACGTTAAAAGGAACAACTATTTGTTAGGTTATACAGGGATCGCAAAGGAGCAATTTTCTTTGGATAATATGCTGTTAACTCAGACTGTATCCAGTTGCAGGGACGCACATGAGAACAACAATGGGTTACGCATCATGAGAGATGACCCCAACAACCCAATCTCCCGAGACTAGGTATTCTTTTCCTATGATGATATAGCGGCTAAGCACCATCATCTGGTGACGGTGTATTACCCTCTAAGTTGATGCACGTTCGGACTGCTATAAGCCAGCTGTTATACCTGCTCAGGCTCAGAAGCGAACCTTACGGTTCTCGTGACAGGGGCAGAGACAGATGATCTGCCATGTATGTTATGAGCAGGGTTAAGTTGAAGAAGATCCCGCACCCAGCGCGGGATCGAATCATGCGTCGAGGTTGGTCGAAACAAGATTCTGTAAGACGGCTCCAATTCAATCAATTCAACTTCAATTTAATAGCAATAAACTTTCTACCATAGGCACACTGGTTCCAGCTACTACGGATTAGACCAACGGAAAGTGGGAGGGTGTGGGACACATCTAAGCCTTGAAAGCGATGGTGTCTGGTTAGCCTGGGAACTGGGTAGCTAAGCATTGAAGGCGGTAGCTTTGATGCACAAGCGATACTGACTGCGCGATTGGGCCACTGCTACCAGTATCCTTAACCAATGATGAGTTAAGTCCCGGGGTCCCCATCCAGGGAGGCGGCAGTTGTCGATCTGACGCTCTTCTCTCGTTATTGTTCTCATACTCCGTTGTCAGGTCATACATTGTCCACCTCTCGGTCGCTTCCACTCAGCATAGGGATGGGAGAAAAGAGCTCTGTGAGGCAGACGGTCTTCTGGCATGTGGAATGCAGGTCGTGGGAGAGTTCCTTCTTCCTAAGACTATCTGGCGTACCTCACCATTAGCAATCCGATGTTCCCACCAGACCTGATCAATGCTTCAAAGACGCCTACGGACGAATAATGACACATTTCGTATGCCCTCTGCGTGTAGGGGACACGTCTCTGATCCATAAAGCAGTAAGGATTGCACTTCCGAAGTGTAAACTTCGGCCTTGACAGACAAACTGACGGTCACGTTGGCGCCATACGTGTCGGACGTTGACAAAACCTGTCCTGACCTTAACGATCTGATAAGTAATATCATCTCCAGCCAGTCCACCGGAACCTATACAACTGCTCAGGTGAAAACATTTATCTACCAAGACAACTGGCTCGTCTGCAAGCATGAGGTTGGGTTTTGGTCCCATCCAGCTTCGTAGCAGCACTTTACACTTTGCTTAGGTGACCGCGACAGAACAAACGACGTAAACATCGTTGAAGGGCGTCTACAGACAGGCTCCGATCTGCAAATCCGTTCACCTCGGGTCAAACACGGCGGAGAAAATCAGCCATAGGCTCGGCAGGTGACAGCAATTTCGCTGCTGGGATCAATGTATTGATCCATTTCCTTTCGCTCCTTCTTTTTATGGCTTACAGTAAGTCACGCTCTTAGTTACTTTGACGCACAGAGTACCGAACAACAGCACTGACGTTGTAACAAACAGTTGGAAGCGTCATTATAGTGAAGTGCAACTCGGGGATTATATCGCTCATACGTTTATTCCACTAGCAGGGGGGAGATAGTCCAAAGTGTGAAACCGCATACCCGTGTTTGAGCTATTATCAGAAAGTACCCAAACATCCGTGCAACTTCGACAAAATTACACAAAATGTACACGAAGGCTATCTGAAGTGATTCGGCATACTGGTCAAAGACGCGGCATAGTTGGTTATCATATACTACCTTTACACGCCGCTTAGAAGACCTTTTGGGTCAACACTGTAGAATGGGTGCACTTGAATGACCGTTGGAAAAATAATGGACAATGCAAGTCGAGGTGGAATGAAATCTGATTAAATGTGGGCTCACTGTTATGCATTAAGTTATACATTATACATTAAGTCAGTTCTCACCTAATCTGACAAACAGCCGTTACCTTCACTCCGGCCCTGAGGAGTTGGACAGCAACAGCTCTAAATCAGGCTTTGGATACCACTCAGTGTGAAACCGGTTTTAAGACAGCCTAAATGAGCTATGCACGTAGTTTTACTTAAATTGAGCAAGTGTTCTCACTCTAAGGGAAAGTCATTCCTAAGGATTCCGCAGACTCTAAAAATAACATCAAACTGGGTAGTAAATCAACAGATCACGTGACAGGGGATAGGGATTCGGCTTGCTGAGGAACTGAGGGTGAGGGCTGCCTATAACGAGATGCTGCATGGCCCAAAACTGGCGAACAAAACGTACGAACACAGATGATGTAGTTGTCAGTCTACAAGGAGAGCAAGAAACTTTAAGGAGCAAACGCCGTTGCACCTTGACGATAACCCAGACTAGTGATTAGAATCCGGAACGGACTTACCAGTAGATAGCTCTCTACGTATTGTTAGCATACCACATGCGGTTTGCGCGGAACCTAATGCAGTCACAAGTGGGCCACGACTCTAGATACACACGTGAAAGAGTGCGATCGATGGGTCAAGATGTAGACAGATAGTCACAAATATGGATTTGTTGTTCTACGGTTGTTCGACCACTAAACGCAGATGCATAGTTGGTATACTAACAAAGGCCTGTGCAGAGCCCGGAGTCCTCAGCACGTGTGAGATTTGTGCTTCGACGACTCCGCCTCTCGACTTCCCCTGTCTGGGCTTGGGCAACCAAGCCCTCGTGCTTCCTTCTGGTGGCATGGCGGCTAGGCACTGAAAGGGCGCTACAGCTGGACGATTAGTATTTCTACGACTCTGCTACAATTACCGACTTACTGGGGATTCGTGTGACAATACACCCAGATAAAAGATATTAGATCTTGACGGGAACGGTTTTTCGCATCGTACTTGTCCGC